TCTTGTTAAACTAAACGTTATAATATTATTTAATATACATATATTGAACCATATTAGCTATAACACACTGCCAAGAGGAAACACTAGACTGATTGCTTGTTAGCAAATTTGTATCAACTCAGTTAAACAGTTCGTCATATAAATTAGTATAACAGTTTGAATGGTAGATATGAGTACAACAGTTTGAATGGTACTTTAAATCAGTAGGATATGATTGCCTTACAAATTCATGGTTGCACGCCTATTACTAGTCAACTATAAATTCGTCATTGACAAGAAAAAAATATGTATACAGATATAATACTCCACTAAAATGTAATAAGCCATATATAAAATAATAGTTCAGTCTCATAATAAATACTTCCTTAATGTTAAACTTCCGAAACAGCTCGTATAATATAATCGAATCCATATTTTAATATGCTATATTTAAAAACTAATATCAAATAAATGTAAGTTGTGTACTAGCTCAAAAGACAGCAGTTTCTGTTCCTAGTGAAATAAGATACAATTAAATGATTATTTCCTTACAGAATCGATATTACGCGCGTAATTTCTAAGAAAAGGCATTTTGGTAATATATATCTTAATAAAGATGGTTGTTTATTTTAGAGTTTAGACTACAGCCTGTAAAGTCCAAATTTAGAATATTATGATTAATCGATTTTTTATTAATCGATTCTACATTCGATTTGGCTTTAGGGCCACGATTTCAATTCAGTTCGAACGGAATGCGCTGAAGGAGAAGAAAGAACGATATTTTAGAATCCTTTGTTGGAAAAAATATGCATATATGTAGGCGCCGAATCGATAGAAATTTGATTTCACCCAATGCGTCTAAGGTATACTGTGGTAAGGCTCATCTTTCGTGTTTATATAAAATAATACCGTATATAACGTATAAAAAGTATTCAACGTGTTGTTCTTGGTAAATCCATGTAGAATTATTTTTTGCTTAATTAATGTATATAAATCGCGTAATTGTCTCCAAAGTGAAGTTGTCAGAACTGTGGTTGACGCAAGGTATAAATTTAAGAAGACGAAAATTTACTTCGTCCGCCTCCTTCGGCTCTATTAGATATCCAAGCACCTTTAAATATCTAATTTATTTAGATCATATCTTGTATATTCGAAGTGTGCGAAGTGAAAGATATTTTTTATATGCAAATACAGTTAAATGAAAATAAAAATCAGGTATTCATTTTAAATTATTTTTTTTATTCGGTAATATACAATAGTGTTGTTGCGATTCAGTCACACTATCTGCATTAGTGTCGCTACCTAATCGATAAAATGCAGTGTCGATTTCGAGAAAATTATCTGGTTAAGTTATCAGATGTATGCAATGTTTTCTTTTTTTATTACTTGAAGCTCATGTTGGAATCAACATATATACTTTGAGGTTTTATCTGTTGGGTAAATTCAATAAATTGTAACATGAACGTACACTCGCGATCGAGAAATTACTATAAAAGTGTATGATGTTATTAAGAGTTATTTACGAAATGATGTTTTTATATTTTTTAAACGCTATCACTTAAGATAGATGGTTCAATTTAAACTGTACATATTTTAATTTAGTTGTAAAGATATGCGTATAAATATAAAGTCCTCGAGTGTGTAAAATAATAATTAAAAGCTTTTGAAATTATATGGTTTATTATGATGCCTTGAGTTCTTTTTAATTCTATTGGAGATGAAATATAAAGTTTTTTTTTTATATGGTTGTCATGCTTTTCTCAAATAATTTTATTGTTATTATATTAACAGTAATTTGCACTCTAATCGCCAGTAGTTATTGTATCTCTATCTCGATGTGTTGCCAACTCCGGGTCTATGTTTTTTTCGAACCGCTACGAAAATTATACAGTGGCGTTCCTTTCCTCTCGTATTTGAGTTAACTAATGAATATTCACAGTTTAAGTTAAAAAGAGTGTCTTCTTTTTTTTTCTAAGGAATGAGTTACGCACTGCGGGTTTCTCGTGAGCCCACTAGACGGAATAGTCCGCCCGGTTGACCTACGAAAGATTACTCATTAAAAATCCACAGCACGCCTTCCAGCAGGCTTACTCTTGAACTCTGATCTCTGTCAATTTCACTCCAATCCAATTTTCATCAAATCTTACCTCGTTCTCTTGAGACATATATATTCAATACTTATTCGATTACTTCATTCAATAATGACGCAATATTGAGCCAATCCGCGTTAGTGTGTGTACCAAATCAAAAGTACGAAACGTCACATTTGCAATTTCAATCGATCGCGATGGCGTTCAAGAGTAAGCTTGCAGGATAGCGACCGCCTAATTCTCTTAACTAACTCTCTCCGCCAAATATTGCCTAGCTAATGATCTCGTTAATGTTCTTTTGTAACGATATGTTTTTTATTACTTATATATTTAATCAAACTTAACATAATTCAGAAGACTATGCAGCTAATATCATTGTTTAAATATTTACATTGTGTAAACAATAGAACAAGAATATTAAAAAGAATATAAATGTATTCATTGAAAAAATCAATGAAAATGGCTGAGAGAGTTAAGGCGAAAGAGCTAGGCAGTTGGTAGCCTGGTTGGGATAAGTCCTAGCATGATGAATTCTCCAGATTCTGCCGCAAGGGTTAGGTGTCCCGGTTTACACTTTAGAGCCGGGACTGTGCTTTTCCGTGCTAAATATTGCAATTAGGAAAACATATATTGTATATTTCAAAGCGATATTCTAAGGCGAGGCGCGTCATTATGCAAGTAATCTACCAAATAATATTATTATTAATGCGGTTAGTATAAGTATGTTAACGCAATTTGTCATTGTCAAATAGTTATTAAGGTTTATATTATATGTATACAAATAAAAAGAATATGCAATATGTTAGCCATATTGGTAAATTAATGAATATTATTGTGAAATGTCATGAAACGCTCGACTCTAATACAATAGTTCCTTTAATATGTGTCATTTTATAATATATTCATACAATTCAATCCCCAGTACGAATGGGTAACGGTACGTATGGGGTGTATATTCATATAATATGATAATGTAAAAAATAGTTTACCAATCAATTATTTGCTATGTCAAATATGATTTTTTTAATAAACATTTACATACTACAAAGATGTTGTTTTAATATTAAAAGTCCCCTTTTTACTAGGGTTCCTTACTCAAAAGGTAAAAACGGCAACCTTATTACGCTGTCCGTCCTGTCAACAGACTGTATCTGATGGACCGTGATAGTTGAAGTTGAAATTTTCACAGAGGATAAATAACAGCAAAGACAAGAAAATATATTTAAGGGGGTTCCATACAACAAACCGGTTTTTATATAAACAGTACGGCACCTCTGTGCGCGAGTCCGACTTTCAGTTTACCGGTTTTTTTATTATAAATACTTTTTTTTTTTACTCCATTGGTAGATCTAGAGATACTTTTCATGGTGGCTGATCTCTAGCGGGAGCTGTCTCAAAAGTGGGAATAGGAAGATGACCCTCTTGGTGGAGTTGAGAAAACGATTAATGTATGGAATGAAAATCTTCACATGAATTAGTGTCATCGAGAAAAATCTCTTGAGCCAGGCCGGATAAACTGTTATAGTAAAAACAGTTCACCCGGTTTAATATACTCCGTGAATTAGAATACTTTGTCAATTAAATAACTTTAAATTAATCAAGTAAAAAAGTTCTGCACCAAACTATTCTTTTTCTTATTTCATATTTATTACCGATGTATCGAAAAAAAAAATGTTCTAAACATTTTTTTGTTATTATAAATTCTGGATTAGACTATTCTTCGGAAGGCCCTTTTGCCTGTGAATAAATCAAAGTCAAAGTCAAAATAATCTTTATTCAAATAGACTTCTAAAAAGTACTTTTGAATCGTCCAACATTTTTTTCCCTACCACTCGTTCAGGACGTCTTTTGGCTGATAAGAAGAACGAGCAAGAAACTCACTAGCTCTAATAAGAGTAATGACATTTACAAAAACCATGTCATTACCAGATCAATACATTATAAACAGAGATAATCATTTAATACATAGACATAATCATAGAGACATAATCATTTAATAATAATGGAAACAAGATAATGAGTTAAGAAGTAATCACCTATCCAGTTGCTGGATGATCTTAAGTCCAAGCGTTCTTATCTGTTATATAATCGGATAAGCTTTTTTAATAAGTATTTTTTTAATAGTAGATTTAAACTGCATGATATCTAATTGTTGTATTTTGCTTGGGACCTTATTGTAGAAGCGCACACAAAGACCCTTAAACGAGTTATTAACTTTTTGCAGTCTAGTGACAGGCACCGTTAATTTATTTTTATTTCTTGTATTAAAATTGAGTACATCACTTTTTATAGATAACAAACTAAATTATTGTGTTATTTTAGATATGCAATTATTATAGCTTTATCTGCTCTACTACAAAGTAAATACCATCAACTTACTCGTATCTTTAATAAATTAGAAGTAAAAATCACATGAGTTTGTTTATATATTTTTATCCAATAGATAATTATTTGAATGGAGTAAGAAATAACTGTGTCTGTTGAAGTCAGTAGCTAACAATAATACTTAGCATTCTAACTTTTTAAAGTTCTTACTACAAACTAATTCTAGTTTATTTGTTAAAAAGTTATTACTAATACTGGAATTATTACTAATGCGATTGTTAGATTGTCATATACACACACTGAACGAAGCCAACTCATTATCAACTAAATTTTCACGAGTCAACGAGCCTAATATTAGTTCTATACAAATAATTACGACAGTCAGTAGTCGAAGCGGAGACGTTATCAACGTAACGCTCGGAGGCTCTAGGGCTAGTTTCATTTTATTAGTCGTTTATTGTACAACAGACGTGTGGACTCTTGTATCAGTTAGCTACGACGTGCATCGCGGCGAAGTGCTAGCGCCTTTTCGAATTGAATGATATGACATCTAACTAGCATCTAACTGAAAAAATTGAGTGAAGTGTTTTTTATTTCATAACAAAAATGACAGCAGGCACTGAAGAGCAGGAACCTCTAATATCTACTTCTGTAGACAACCAGAGGGTTGTATACAACAATTCGCCACAAGTAAGTTATTTTTTTTAGAATAGGCTCTATTCGTCGCTTTCGAAACTTACCATATTAGTACTTAGTACATATTTATATTTTTATTGTTCATTAGTATAAACTCCAAAACTACTAGTCCGATTTTATATAGACTGGCTATATTTTTACTAATATAATTAAAAGAACGTAGATTGAAAATCGGTGGTTTCAGTACGACTTTCCTGTATTTGACACATTAGTGCAGATTAGAAACACAAAGAAATCAGTGATATAGCTGATAGTAACCTACGATAAATAGAAAGTTTGTGTAAAAACTTTCCATAGCCTAAAAGCCGACAAAAGGTCCCCTAGGAAATAAAACAGAATAGATAATTAGTGGGTTAATAACAAAGTTCAGTTTGTCTTCAATTAAAATAACTAAATAAGCCCGGATTTTCTCAAGTGCTACGCTTTCTAATGGTATTTCGTTTTTCCTAATGGAATGGTTTTTACAAGCTTTTCGCGGGTAAAACCTTGCAAGTTAAATTGCTAATATGACTTGGATGAAAATGCCGTATTAATATGGAATAGGGCCGTAAAAGCTGAAAAGAAGCAACTCCATCGTGTTTGTGTCGTCTTGATCCTTGTCGTAGCAAACCATAAGAACTTCGGCAGACCAGCCATATTTCAGAGTCTAGATGGTAACGCAGCCCCGTCGAATTTCTGCTCGTTTGATATTTATGTCTATAGGTTTGATAAATCTCTTGTCAAAGTACTTTCAGTTAATTTCCCCCAAAACCATTACAATTTATTTGTAATATTCTCAATCCCATTCCTCAGTTACAAAATGACTCAACTTTTTATCAGTTTTGCAATAAAGTAAAAATGAGCAGAAATATGTCAATAATCGTAAATTCTAGAGGCAATTCATTTGTTTTTAAAGGCTTCACTACTGTAAGGGTTAATCAACTCAGTTTATAACTCCTATCAGAAGGTTAAAATATAAACAACAAAGGCGTTTATGTTAACACTATATAATGCGACTAATTAAAAATGCAACAACTTCACATTATATTATAACAAAGCTTACTCTTTTTCTATGTCAATAACATTTTGTGTTCTTACGTTTTGTATCGAGAAAATTTTATAAAATCACTCTTTAGTCCAATTACAGCTTATTTGGATATTATTACAAGATTTTATTTAACTGGCTGCGTTATTATTTTAATTTGTTAGGTTAAGTCTATAAAGCAAAATTTTACCCACTTCCTTGTTTTCAATTGCGTTGAAATTTTACATGCGTATTTATCATAGATGACAATGCATTCCATATTAATAAATATGGAATGAAGATGATTTGATGATAGAGATCTTATTAAACGAATTAACCACATTGAATTTGGGCTTGTTTGATTTGTCTTGACGAGGACTGATTCGAGACAGTACTCTGAGAGATGATAGTAGATACTTACAGTCTGATAATAGAACTGGAGCTTGGTTATGGGAACTTTGTAAATAAAAAAATAAAAAAAAAATATTTCAATATTCACTAACTTCACGCTACAACAATTTGACATGTTTTTTGAAAGATATTGATTGGAAATATCTTTAAATTTAACCCAAGCGTTAGCGAAATAGTTGAACGCAAAACTGCAACCTTTCGACGGATTTAGCTAAAGTTTTATTGTTTGTTGATCATTAAAATTGTTATTTTATTCAAAAGCAATTGCGACTCTAATTCCATAAATCGCTGTCACAATCTTTATACATTTGAAAGAAATTGCAATAGATTTTCAAATTAGATAATTAGCCCACTGGTCTAAGATAATAAACAAAAAGCTTATATTTTTATAATAAAATTGTTTTGAATTATTTCTTTGTCTAAAATGAACTAAAATTTAGTAACTTTTGGTTTAATGCCTTTTTAGTTTGTAGTAAAAGTTTTATGCCTTTTAAAGTATGTATTCATGCAACTACAAAATTATGTCTAACAACTTTAAACACTCTCATACAATAGAAAGTAATAATAAAAAATCTATCTAATATATTTCCATGACGCAGATTTCTATCTATAATAAAAATATATAAAAAACTGACCTTACTAATCTGAATTTAATTCATCACCCGTCGTTAATTAGGTACCTCGCATAATTATCAGAATTCTGTGGTTAAAAGGTAGTAAAAAATGAAATTGACTATTTAATGCTATTAACAATTAATTTCTTATTACCGATGCTATAATTTCATTAATTAAAGCTATTACCGAATGTGGTGCAACAATATTATTGGCCACAATTTTGCTTTTTTGGCCCCAAAAACAATTAATGAAGTAATTTAGATGCGATTGATGACGAGTGGCTTAGGCACATCCCTGTTCCAAGGTGTCGCCTTCGGTTTTATTGTCTCGTTGTTGATGTAACGTCGTTGTTTTAAATTTCAATAATGTTAAACTTGAAATAGTATATATTTAAAATAAACGGAACACTAAAAAAGCTTCTTCACTAGATGGCGACTCTAGCAAAAGATGATTTTTGCAGACGAATGGACGAATGGAAACGAATGGACCAAAGACAGTCTGTCGTTTCCGTTCCTTTTACATATTAAAAAATTGAAATTTGAAAAGTTCGAAGCTTAAAGATCAATACAAATACGAAAAGGTACAAATAGAATATGAGTTGTTTATTGAGTTTTGAACATTAATTTGCTTTTAAACATGAAAGAAAACCGGAAGGGTTGTCATGGAGAAATCAAAAACGTACAGTAGCTATATCTAGTTTGATTTCGGGAACTTATTTTTTTTTAAATACTTCTTCATTTAAATCTGAGAAACGTATGCGAATAACTGAATATTATTGATTAATTTTGGTCGTATTTAATCTAAACGACTTAAGTGTTAGTAGATAGAAGACTAATGTCAGACAGTTTCTAATATTTTGTTCTTGTTTCGTTTGTACTCGGAATCATTTGTATATTTAAAAAAAAGATAGATAAATAAAGAGCATTCCAAACGTTTTGACCCCATTCCGACCTGTCCTAAATAAAGCACCATAAAACATATGATCCTATATATAGAACTAATACTTTATTTGTTACTCCGTGATCATAGCGCTTGCAGCAGCTACGCAATATCAGGAATTTAACAAGAACAAGGTACATGATAGCAATTCTGCGAAAACTCTAATTTTAATTAATGAATACTTCTTTATGACAACTTTAACATTCACATTCACTTCATCTAATATCCATATCACAAGCATTGATGGACTAAGGAGGGGCGGGAGCGGAGGGGGCCTCCAAATTACTGCAGCCATCCGCCAAAATCACAATAATATAATAAAGTTAAAAATGTATGCGCATGCAATATCAAATTTCTCTCTCTGTTGGAAAGTTTTGGATTCGGGCCTATTGCCGCCTCGGGCCTCCGGTTAATCCTTTATCACAAATACATATATCTTAACACAATGGAATTACTTATACCTAGATATAAAAAAAAAGAAAATACTTTAATCTGTCCCCGAATCTATATATCTAAAACACTAATACCATAATGTTCTTATTTCGTTTTCGTGCGAGTCCAACGAACATAAAAAGATAAAACTAGTTTGCTTAATGCACTAACGTATTTTGTTTTTAATGAGCTTGGAATTTAATGCATTAATTCTAAAGAAGACGACCGGTTTTGATATCCGAAATACGAATGTTTTAACCCAAAATGGACGGAGTTGAATTTTAAGTTGCGCTTATAAAGTTCCAGTTATAGTTATCAATTGAAGATCGTCAGCTGGACCAACCTATTTTTAACCGACTTCAAAATCGAAAAGGAGGTTATAATGTTCGATGGCGATGTATTTTTTTTGTATCCTCACCAACTTTTCTGCGGATTGTTAGCCAATTTTCAAAATTATTTTTAATTCGTCAGCTAAATGGACCGAGGTGGTCCCATTAAAATTTTATCGAAATAAAATCAGTACTGTTCTTTCTATGATACAACACAATATAATTTTCATGAAATATCACCCAAATATTTAGATGACACGTTTATATCAGCGAAAAAATATCGGAAAATTGCGTATTTTGCATTCAATCAAAATCCGAAAGAAGGATTTACTGTGTTCAACGGCTATGTATATATATGTTTTATGTAAGTAGATATGTTCATCAATTTCTTCTTGAATTGTGAAACAATTTCAATCAAACTAGCTGTTGCCTATGTACTGGGAAGCGTCACCGCTTTACTGATGAGATTCCACAAACTCGCACCAAACGATTCGCCTCTACATTCATCGGGCGAATTACGAAGCTGTGGAATTCGCTACCGGACTCGCTGTTTCCGGACAAATACAATCTGGGACTCTTCAAGGCAAGAGTAAATCGGTTCCTTCTAGGCAAGCACGCTCCATCTTAGACCACTACATTGCTTACCATCAGGTGGTCAAGTGCTTGCCTATCTAGATTAAAAAAAAAAAACTGTAAGTAGCTAAAATATTTTTTTTAAATTAGACTATTGGTTTCGAAGCCTATTCAACGCAAGCAAACTCTTTATAATATTAGTATAGACATTAGAGATTATTACACATTTAATTGCTGTCCTCTAATTTATTCTTTATAAAGAAAAAACATCCGTAATTTTAACAAAAGTCGATGAATTCCTTCGAAATATTGCTCCACATTTTCACAAATTATTACTTTTAAGGAAATCTTACTTTTCTCATAACTTTTTAAGTACATGCACAATTAACATGATAACGACAATTAACTTTGGTTTTGGAAAAAAGCCAATCTATTCTATTTTTATTTCTTTCCGCTTTAACCACAGATATTTAGAGGTTTCAAAATAAAGATATAGAACTTGTTTACCGCAAAGATACTTATTGTTAAATAGATTAAGTACCAACTTATAGAGAATGATATAAAAAAAATAGATAATTACTCGTAATATTAAACAACAATCATCCAAATCAAGAACAAATCGAATCTGCATAGAGCACAAATGTTTTTTTTGTATCCGTTCAGTGTTATCTATCTCTGTAAAGAAAAATAATATATCCAATACAGAAATTAGACGTTTGTGGTCGATAAGTAAGAGGTTTACATGCTAAGGAGGCTGAAGACACTTTGTACGCAATATCATAAAAAATAAAAACTGATCGATTTCAAAATATCATATCTACTAAATCAAAAGACTAATTACCAGTTGCACAATAGTCCAATAAAATTTCATTAATTTACCGATACAAATATGCATATTTAGGACATTCATTAAACATCTAAATTAAAAGCTTAAAGTTGTCCTTACATCTTAATGGACGTTTGAAAAATCTGCAATTTTGCTATTTTAAAAGAAGCATAGAGTTCGTGACATTACAACATCGATCAGCAAAGAAAAGACCTATTCAATGGTCGACCAATTAATTGTCTCCAATTCAATTCAATCGGTCGTTTCCTGCGGTGTATAATATAAGCACCATGAGCCAACCATGAGCCAGTTTCTCGGGATTATCTGTCTAGATTAATAGGCGACAGTTCAAAGATACTGTTTATATGTAAAATATTTTAATAAACAACTCATAAAAATAACATTGAACATAGACATTTCTTTTTAATGAAGTACAAAGTGCAACGGAATTTTATTGTGGAACCTTAAAGTTTTTTTAGCCTTTATTGAACCACTAGTCTTACAAAAAACAGAATAAAATTTAATGTATCGTTTTAGTTAGGTATGAAAAAAAAGGTATTCATTTATTGCATGAAATCGTGCGTGGAATTCGAAAATTCATGCCGTCGTCAAGATATGTGTACCTAAATAAAATATATAATAATAAACCGCAAACATATAACTAATTGGTTAATCAATTAACAAGCTGTGTCATACGTACGGATTGATCATTGAATAAATTGATAAAAGAAAACAGACGCTATTAAGTGTCACTCCTACGAATTAACTTGATACTTGGCCTATTCTATTTGTCCTCAAACTAAAATTCACAAATTATAATCGTTCTTATAACTTTGTTAAGATCCTACCTACATGGCATTATAAATTATCGAAAAATGCGTTTCTCTGGAGTCGAATTAGCATTCCAAAAATAGACGAATTTTCGTTTTAGGTGAAATATAATATATCCTTGCTGTTAATTTTTGATTTCAGAAAGTGGGTCCGCGGAAATCCCTGGGGTTAAAATAACATTGTCAAAAAAACTCATAACTGCTTTTAATTTATTTAATTATTATCATTATATCCGTGATACGGAGTCATCATCTTCACAAAGGTCACCCATTAACGATGAAGTAATTTAATATAGTTTCGTGTTGTGATATTATTAAAACATTATCAACTATAAATCCACAACTATAAGCTAAATTAAAAGGCTTTTAAATAATCACTGGGTTTAATGGAATAACGCCCTCCCCCAGTTTCGGTGTCGTGTCTTCGATACTTGTCTGTGACACGTGTTGTAACTTTAAACTCTAGTGTCTAGCGGAAACAGATAATGCCCGATTTCAAATGCCTTCCGGTTTCGTTGAAGTTGCGAGGTTTCTTTTACCCTACACTCAATTGACAGTTTCTCTTATACATTATTTTTATCATGCACACACGTACGCACTAATACACCACATACACATAATCACATAGGTATACTTTTAGTAGACAACTTGTATAAGTTTTTATTTTTAAGGGTGGAAGACATTGGCTGTTTTATCACAGTTCATACTTCTAGAGCTGTCAATGTGATACCGTGTAAAAAATAAAGTTATAGGTTGTTATTCTTTAGTATTTTGAAATGTATAAGGAATTCAAATAAATTATACTATATTATACTATATTCAAAACAATTCTTGCATTCTAACTCTTTACAGCATTAAAATGGATATGTTCCTAAAATATTTAGACTAAAATATAAATTTGCGTTAAGTAATAAATAAAATTTTAATCACATACATTGCTCAGATTCCAAGATAAGATTAAGTTCCCGTATAATGGAGTATCTGACACAACGATTGTAACACAACATCCAAACTCGAAACAATGTAGAAAACTTATTTATATATTGACCCGACCGGGAGTCGAACCCGTGATATCAGAGATGGCGACACGTTGAAACCGGCGTGTGAACCACTCGACTACGAAGGTCGTCAATAAATAAAATGCCAAAAGAAACTTTTCAAAATAAAATAAAACTGATGTATTTCTTATAATAATTATTTTATTCTAGTATCGGTTGGCGCCCAACGTGGGGTTTAATTTATTAATTATATTGGCTATTTTTAAATAATGAATATTTATTAATTATTTACATCACGGGTCTTTAGAGCGGTTGTTTGTTTGATAAACAAATTATAGGTATATTCATTCATTTTGATGAAGAAAAAGTAGTCCTTACTGAATTTTTTGTCGGATCTTTTCACCAGTGTTTGTTAACGTTTTTGACTAAGAGAATTTTTGTGTTTATCTATGTCTAAAAGCTGATTAAGTTAAATCAAGGAAATATTTATTCCCTCCACGGTTACTATACTAGCAGATAACATAATCCCTTTAAACGCATATCCTTTTTGCAACGCCCTCTTATGTGTTCGATGGTTTGTGTAATTTGTATAAGATTTTAACTAGATAGTTTTAAAAGCAGATCTTATAAACAGTTGTTACTATTTTACAGAGCGGGCCATATTGTAAAATTTTACGTGCAATTAATTAAAAACCCTTTTTGGCGATTCGGTCCGAGCAATATGCCATCATATGTTGCCAGTTGTGATATTAATTGGCCAGATAAGGTGTAGTTTTCTATTTGTCTTTATGCACAGTCGATAAAAGAAACCTAAATTTAAGACGTTATTGACGCCGGTGTTAGCACAAATTAAGACCTAATTAGCTATGGCGCTGGTAAAAACGTTACCTAATTAGCTACGGCGCTGGCACAAACAATACCTAATGAGCCACTGCGATGGTACAAATTAAGATATAATTAGCTACGGCGTTTGCAAAAATGAACACTTAATTAGCGCCGGCGCTGGCACAAATTAAGACATATTTAGCTATGGCGCTGACATAAATTAAGACATATTTAGCTATGGCGCTAACATAAATTTTGAGATCTAATTGGTGCCGGGGCTGGCACACAGTAAGACCTAATCGGCGCTGGTATGTCACGTCAGTTGCACGGGGCTGATAGCCGAGACAATGCATTAGAAACCGTTCTATTATTACATTAGCCAAATTGATTACTGGATTGAGGAATATAACCATTTATCTACATGAGGTTAATACTGGACCGGCCTTCAGGTATGTATTATATATTGGCCTCGAGTAAATAGACCACTACATCATGGTTTGATTGTTATTTTAAAGATCAAATAGAAGAAGAAGAAGTTCAAATTTAAATCTGCAACAGAAGTCAAAAAATAATTGAAAATATTAGATAGATGTTATTTTCAGCACTAAATAAAATTTCACTTAATACACAATCTAATATGACTAAGCGTATTATTAATAATCGTCATTGAGCTTAAATAAAAGTCGAAGCTTGTTTTAATAGCATAACAGCACTGTACGTCAAATTGGATTTAATGTACATTTAGTCATTCCGTTACTTAGATTAGACTGGAAAAGTGTTATTTTAAATACAATAAAACTGATCATGGTAAAAGTTATATCTATGGCCACTAGTGGTCCGCCAAAGCAAAGTGCTTTTTTAAAACAAAAAATGTAAAAATAAACAGTGCGGAAAAGAAAGTACTAATCACCTTTCGAAGATGAGATAGCTATCGTTTTCATTCATATTGTTCATTCATATCAAATTTGTATTATCACAGGATGGAAACTCACCCAGCGAGACTCCGAGGACAAGCAGCGGTGATGTGACGGTAGCGATGCCACAAAATCGTAACTACGGCGCAATAGGAGGTGTAGAGAAGGTCACGTACACCTGGGCGGATATCAACGCGTTCACCACAGAGGACAGGAACAGGAGGAGGTTCTGGAACATCTGGAGGTCGTCCTCAGACCGCATGTTCCGGCAGAGAAAGCAGCTATTGCGTAATGGTAAATTAAATTATTACCTATTCCGTTGTTGCCTACAAGTGAAAATACAAGGTTCTTTTTTATGTTTCGCAAAATAGAAACCATTTTAATTTATAATTGGATTACAAAATAAATGTAATTGCACTAATTTGAATAATATCACGCTTTGAAAACTCAAAAAATCGGGAAAGTATATTAAATAATTCGCTTGAAATACTCCATTAGCCAAAGAAAACAGCAGAAATTGCTACTAATAAGGCCTTTTGCATGTATATATTTTTACATTTATTTTAAATGCAATAAGTTGATTCAATCCAATTCAATATATTATAACCTAATGATGAATTCATTCCTTGTAGTTAACGGTGCTGCGTACCCGGGTGAGCTGCTCGCTATAATGGGCTCCTCCGGTGCTGGCAAAACTACCCTCCTCAATACTCTTACATTCCGCACACCCAGCGGGGTTGCAGCCAGTGGCACTCGAGCACTTAACGGGCAACCAGCCACGCCTGAAGCTTTAACAGCACTATCGGCGTATGTCCAGCAACAAGACTTGTTTATAGGAACACTTACTGTGAGAGAACATCTTATTTTCCAGGTGAGAAGTCAATAACAAGCTAATTTCTTAGTAGGTAGTAGTCATAACAAAAAGGTCCGATTCGTTTTCACAGTGCAATAATAAGGATGTAGACAGTAAACGAAACTAAATATTTCTTTATGGTAGTATTTAATATATTATTACCGATAATTACACTTTTATATTTATTAAGTTTAAAATATTGCTTAAATTAATTATGAAAAAACAAATATTAGGCCTTTACTTATGGAATTGCCGTTTTTCATGAAATAAACGAAGGGTATTTTTTTATTTTTTTTCAAAGTAATCACCCATGCAATAGATCCATCTTTGCCAGCTTATTGATGCCCTACTTGAGGAAATCAGCTGTACGAGAAGCAACAAATTCTTCAAAGGCATTTTGTATTGCCTCTCGAGTATTGAATTTTTTTTCCTATTAAGAAGTTATCCAAATCAGAAAAAGTAGAAGTCTGGCGCAAGGTCTGGTGAGTACAGCAGATGACTGAGAACATCCAACCCCAGCTCTTGTAGCTTGGAGACCGTCTGTTGTGTAGTAGGAGGTCGCACGTCGTCGTGCAGGAGCAGTGAAACTGAAAAAGTGACAAAAGCTGGTTGGAGTAGTGTGAGCTTCGCCGTCATTGTGTTCAGTTCTTTACAATAATAAAAAATAATAAAATAATAATAATAAAAAACACATCTGCAGTAATGCTTGTTCCGTTTGGTACTGTAATATAAAGCTGTAATGCATTACTTCGCTCTCTTTATTACATCGCTTTTCTAGGGGTAAATTTTCGTTTAGGGTATTGTTTGGGTGCTGATCCAGGGTCCAACCAACTTGTTCAGTGCTTACGATTGTCGAACAAGATCCATTTCTCGTCACAAGTAACAAGGCAGTCCAGAATTCCTTCATTTATATGCCTGTTAAGCAGTGCAAGGCACGTCTCGACAAGTACTTCGCGCTTCGATCATCGAGTTCGTGGGGTACCCATTTGCCAAGCTTTTTTACCTTGCCGATTAGACGCAAATGGACTAATATTATTTTGATGCTTACGTCGACAGCTGCTGCTAATTTAGACGTTGATTGAGTTTCATCAGCTTCCACAATCCCCTTTAATTCGTCATTGTCGACCAAAGTCTTTGAACGACCACTGGGTTCATTTTTCAGGTCAATATTTCCAGAACGGAAGCGGGCAAACCAATAACGGGTGGTGCGTTCGTTTGTAGTTTTCGCTCCGTAAACGTCGTTGATGTTGCGAGCCGCTTTGCTGCCACGATGGTACTCAGACTCCATAATTACTCGAATTTTTAATTTATCCATGACGACGAAAAATTTTCGTATGCGTTGAAAACAAAAAACTAATAAAAATGCGAGTTAAGAAAAAAGAATTCCATGTTTTTAAAATAAAATAAATTTGAAATTAGAATTATTAGCCCAAAAAAATAATTTTGATTTGAAATAGCCAGTGTGGCAGAACGGCAATTTCATAGATAAAGACCTATTAATCTGGCATAGGCTATTCTCGGTTTTCTATGCAGCTGTATGTACGAGTATATCAATCGCGTCACGCGTGCTATTAGGTGAAGTCAGAAGCTATAAAAACTGGCGAGTATGTATGAAAAGAGTAATGAAACTGAATGAGGCGAAAGATTTTACTTTGTGGCGGTCGGTCTTCTCTGCATACCGTGCTAAGGATATAGAGTGAACATATATTTCAATGAATCTACTGAACTGATGAAATATATCAAATCAACAATGTCTACTTGACAGTGTAACCTACTTTCGATTTGGAAGAAAAACCAAACACGTCCGATATCTTTTAGATAGCGTCTCTGTGTATTTTATGTTTGGAAATAAATATATTTGTTCTTGGTTTGACTAAACATGAACAGAGTAAGTAAATAAAATAATATTATACTGCAAGATCCTTTGCCACATTTGTCGATTTAAAAGCGATAAATAAAAATATATATTAAAATATATATATAATTTAATTTATGTAAAAATATGTAACATTTCAAATCGTAATCGCTTTTTGAACGAACGATGAAATTAAGAATGATAATAAATACTTTTACAGATAGGGTTTTAGCTGACTTAGATAATAGGATACTTTTTATCCCTCTGAACATTTCTCTAGGGACCACGCGGGCGAAGCCGCTGGCGAAAGGTAGTATCAAATAATTGTAATAATTAAGGCGATTAGCTCTTAGGATAGTTGACGAGACAGTTCACGCGATTTATGAGCTCAATCGACTAGATGATGAAGCAACCATTTACATATTAAGATTTTTTTCTGACCAAACAGAACTGGTTAAAAATAAACGAGCTTCAAATCATAGAGAAAAAAATACGACTGTCGTCTTAAGATCTGTTTGATTAATTCGGGCACATTAATCTCTTTAAATAATGATCTCTGTTAGCTTGGTTATTCTTCGTCACATCGTTTATTTAATTTACGATTCTTAGTAATTTTTAGATTTCTATTAAGTTGTTGGTATGAAATATACTTATAAAAATATGAATTTTTTTATTATTTTAAATTCTTTAAATAAACATTGTACTTAATAAATGCAGAGACAAAGTAGAAAGACAACTTTAAGACAATCATGCTATCAGAGAAAAGAAATACTGGTGTGAAAATAAAAACTAGTTTAATAACAGACGTTCCGTAGGACGACAATAAAGAAATTACGACTTTTTTTGGGTAAAAACAATGATTTAATATCAAGAATTCATTGATTATAACATTCAAAACATTAGCGTTGAACAATGCTATTCTGTTATAAAAACAGCCTTTTTTATAACAGAACAGTATTTGCTATTTCTAGAGCAGCAAAAATATACAACTAACTGACTATACCTACACATATGCCGATAGCAACAATCGGTTGGTTGTAATTTTTCAGAAATCTTCAAACGTCTATTTGGTTTTTTCTATTTGGTAACTGACGGACTAAATAGAATTTTTTATATTTTACAGAGTCATTTTTGCTGCGTTTTATCAATTAAAAAGTATGTGGCATGCTTTAATGTTTCGAACTCTCCTTAGTTGCAATGGGTATATAAATAACTTACCTTAATTATATCTGTTGCATATAATATTTATTGTTTTTACAGGCATTAGTTCGAATGGATCGACATATACCATACGCACAACGCATGCGACGAGTCCAAGAAGTAATATCCGAGGTATGTTGAAAATAGGGTCCACGCTGTTGGTTCACGAACGATAATTCGGAATATTTCGAAAATTAAAGTGCTTATGATATTGTTGAAATCATATGTGCATTAGAGGCAGTCTCAGATGTTATCTTCGTCGCATTATGAATTATCGAAAAAGGGTTTCTTTAGTATCATATTAGCGTTTCAAAAACAAACGTAATTTCATTTTCAGTGAAACGGTAGACCGTTTCTGTTTATCATTTTTCTCGGCACTGAATTAAATAGAGTCAAAGGGCTCCGAAATGAAATAATTCGGGAACTATTACAATCGCCGTAAAAGTGTGTTCATACAGTCCTCCTCTGCTACAAAGTACCTATATTCCCTATAAAAAAGAGTATAAATACGAAAAGATATCGAAAAAATAATGAATTACAGGAGCAGCTTTATATTTTTTTGGTGTTTTGATATATAATAGGTTAATACACATTTTAACTTAACATTGCACCAAAACCTATATATTTAATCTTTTTACAGCTAATTTAAACGTTGTTTCTTGGTACAAAACCGATTGAAAGTGTTATTTATTGTGACCGCGCCCTTTTAAGATAGAGTCTAACTAAAGCAAACATTGAATATGAAACTGTGTGTAAAATATAATTCAAATAATTTTAAAAATGACATCAAGTAAGAGAAGAAACTTTATTGTTAAATATTTGCCTAACTTTTAAGCTTTATGGTAAAAAAAATATACTTTTACAAGATCTTATTTAGTTTGCTGTTTTAGTTAGTTTGATAGTTATTTGGAAATGGGTCAAATTTAGCTTGTAAGATTTGACCCATTTTCAAGATAGAAAAAGCTTGTTTTTAAAAAGAAACCTTTGATTTCGTATTATCTATTAATTAATCTACACTTTGTGCCTTTTTTTTACAGTAAATTAGAGTTTGTTGATTTTGTTCACAATAAATTTGCTATGATTTATTACGCCATTTTTAAGTATTATAAATTTAAACGAAGATTTTTATTGCACTATTGAATTGCGTTCTGATTTTTTAATTGTTATTGCACAAACGTAATATTTAAATTGTGTTTGCACTGTTACTTGCTCAACTAGATACGTTATATTTGACAGATACAATGTAGTAAGCAAATATCAAGTTATCTTAAAACAAACATGTATTATAACTACGTCTGCGTTTATATTCATGGTATTTCTAAGTCATTTATAAAATACGAGATTATTTGAAGGGAAAGTTTCAAAATGTGGCAATAATTAATAGTTTTAAAGGGCCGCTTACGTAAAAGACGTCAACCTTGTTATTGGACGGTTATCAAACGAGCCGCCAATGTTTCTCAGAAGGAAATATTGTGTCCAAACATCAAAATAAATGAATGTGCATCAACAACTACTTTATATAATATCCAAATAAAAATATAATGTTTTTTTTTTTTAAACAAGCTTTTATTTGTGCGCTCTAAAACGTAAATAAATAAATTTTAAACATTTAAATTATTTATAATCAAAAGTTTTTCTAACAGTGATTGACTTGAAAAGTTTGTAGCACGTCAAAAATATGTGTATTTAGTCATCTCCGATTTCATTATAGTTTTTCATTGCTAAGTTCCTATCACTCTATATATATAAGCTCCATCAACACCAGACCTTGGTCTGGAAAGCCTCCAGTACCAAAGTCCTCAAAAAGAGGGATCTAACGAGCTCAAACCCAACGCAGTTGCGTTATTTCATTGCTTAGTTCCTATGACCAGCTCCATCATCACCGGTCCTTATTCTGAAAAGCATTCAATACAAAAGTCCTCATAAAGACAGATCTAGCGAGCTCAAACACGACGCAGTTGCGTCATTTCATCATTAAGTTCCTATGACCACCTTCTGACTTCACCATCATATCAGCTTACTGACACCATAATATTGCGTTGTCATCTTTCGTTTGCGTTTATGTCTTTGAAATTTTGCATAATTTCAAATCTATCGGATATTGGGAAGTGGGTCAACTTTGAGTTCCAAGATTTGTGCACTAACAAACAAACAAACAAATAAGGCAAGCTCAATAAAAGCTTATAATGTTACATTTTATTTTAAATAATTTTATTTTCATATGTGAATCAACAGTTATCTTAGAATAAGTAAACTATGAAACAGAACGAATTATAAAATTCACATGCAACCTTTTTTTTTAAACGATTGTTTTTTAAATCATTGTTTAAACCTTTTTTAAAGCTTGCTAAAATGAAAAATAAACGAGGGAAATTAATGAAAAAAGACGCACAGTAAACATTGTTTTACAGTGATGGCCCCTGATATTTAGACAATTCTGATTTTCCATCTCTATTATTCATTTTATGCTTGTTCGTACTATTACATTTTAAAATATACAAATCGGTGTTGCTGGCACAACACAAGTAGATAAAGAAATAATGTAATATTTTCGACACTCAATTGTTTTTTATTCTATGTTCTGCATGTCAAGGAATAAAAGCCCATTATATTTTTTCTATCTGTTTTTTAATAACTAATTCATTCTAATATCAGCAATAATCTACAGTCCACCTAAGAATCGTACATTGGTCCATCTCACCGGTAAGAATTAAGTTATATATAACAAACAGCAAAAGAGAAAATACGTTTCGTTCAAATCTCCAATATCAAGCAATGTTGCAAGAAAAAACGAAACGCAAGGGTACGTACTGATATGCAAGCAAAAGACCAAACTGTGCGAATTTCATTGTGATAGTTTATTGGCGCAATTTAGAGATACAAGAAAAAATCGACCAATAAGCGGCCGGTGCGGCACGGTCGAGCGGCAACGGTCCAGCGTGCAGCGAATCAACGATCAGTTTTCTTCCCTACTCGCCGGGCGGAAGTTCCGTCTGCAATTGCAAAGGCAAGCGAAAGGAAGCGTCTTTTGAAGCATTTTTGTGGTCAGAGTTTAGTTGTGAAATAGCTATTTTTTATTATAAAGTGAAAGTGCAAAAGTGTAACATCGTTATATTAGGAACTATAAGGTGTTTAAATCCTATTACTCTTGGAGCTATATTATTTAAGTGATATTCGTAGTCTACCCAATTTTGTAAGATTTTATAATCTCGTGTTCGTTAGTATTTAAAAATGGCGGATGCGCAAAAAAAGCTAATTGCAAGCCGGGGCTACGCAAAAGGAGCAATAACAAGGATTTACAATTTTACCTTGAATAAGGTTGAAGTTGAGAGTACCAGTAAGGAGACCCTGATAATAAAGCGGGATAGATTATTAGCAATGTTCAAAGAGTATGAGCGATGCCATCAAGACATTTTAGCTTATAATACTGAGGATACTGAAGACATATCTGTTATAGAAAGTCACTATTTTTCTAGTCTATCTGTTCTAAATGATGCAATTAAAAGGTACTCTAATTGTGTACAACAAGAAAATAATTTGGAGTCAGGTAATGACAAAAGTAACAATAAGGTTAAATTGCCTTCTATTAATGTTCCTATCTTTTCTGGAAAATATTCCGACTATATTAATTTTATTGAAATGTTTAAATCAGTCATTCATAAGGACAGAAGTTTAGATAGTGTACAAAAATTGTATTATTTACGTTCTTTTTTAAAAGACCAGCCTTATGATTTAATAAAAAATTTACCTCTATCCAATGATAGCTATAATAATGCACTGGAGTTATTAAATAAACGTTATTATAATAGGTACAAAATTGTAACAGAACATGTAAATACTTTACTAGATTTAGAAAAATTACCAAAGTTTCCAAAAGCTAATGATCTGCGACAATTTATTTCAGTTATTAGCCAAACATTAGCTGCATTAAGAAACATGGATTCGGCTGTGGAACAATGGAACCCCATATTATTGGGTGTTCTTACACGTAAGTTGGACATCTACAGTGCTCGTTCATATCAATTGGAGCGCAATCAGGAAAAAGATCCAACAATTGATGACCTATTGGATTACTTAAGCAGGCGAGCGCTTGCAATGGAAAACACTGAGCCGGAGATGCCTGAGACCAACAAACGTCTATCTACAACAGCGTCCTACAATAAAAAGGTAGTTTTGGCAGCAACAAAGGCAGCACAGCAGTGTCTATACTGTAAGTGTTATGATCATAAATTATATTTATGTCAAAAATTTAAATCATTGCCAGCAAGTGAAAGGGTTGATTTTGCAAAGCATGAAAATTTATGTAAGATATGTTTACATAAACATGTAGGTAAATGCAAGTTTCACTTTAGGTGCGAACAATGCAAAAATAATCATAACACATTGTTGCATTTTGAAAAAACTAATCCAGTAGTTTTATTATCTGGTAATAAATCAAATATGAATGCTTTAATTCCAACAGCACGAGTGAAAATCTATGCAAAAGATGGAACAGAGGTACATCTTAAGTGTATTCTAGACTCTGGTTCTCAAGTGTCTTTAATTACCACTAAGGCAATTAATGTCCTGGGGTTGACACCTCAACAAACTGATATAAGTCTATTTGGTGTCACAGAAAGTGAAAATAAAATTAAATATTGTATTCCATTAAAAGTTCATTCTTTAACCTGTGCATTTAATACTATTATAAATTGTAATGTTGTGGACAGAATTACATGCAATTTACCACAAAAACTTTTTGACACAAAGGATATAAATATTCCTCCTGGTGTCACATTGGCAGATACAACTTTCAATCAACCATCTGAGATAAATATGCTGATTGGTGTGGATGTCTTTTTTCAGATTCTCCTGCCGAATGAAGATTTTGGGGAGGAATCATCTGCAAGCAATTTTAATAAGTATTCACCGTCAACGTCACCACATATAATTAATACATGTTTTGGCCACATTGTTGCTGGGACTTGGGTTGGAAAGTGTAATCTTCTAAAAAATAAGGTTGTATCGCTTCTCTGTACTAAATGTGACTCTGATATTAGTAAGTGTATTAACAAGTTTTGGGAGGTAGAGAGTGTGCCACAATTATTATTTGAAAAGAATTCAGAACAGGACTTAGCTGAAGATATTTTTAAAAACACAGTTAAATTAGAAAATAACAAATTTCAAGTTGATCTGCCTTTGAAGGTGGAACGCTGCAAAATAAATGAGATATTAGGTAACTCATTTGATCTAGCTTTACATAGGTTTCTTAGTTTAGAGAAACGGCTACAAAAAAGTGGCAATTTATTAAAGGAATATCAAAAATTTATTGATGAATATATAGAGCTTGGTCATGGACATTATATAGATATTAACTCATATGATTTTACTAAGGATCCAATTTATTTTCTGCCCCATCATGCTGTAATAAATTTACACAGTAAGACTACACCTGTAAGGGTAGTGTTTGATGCATCGATGAAAACAAGTAAAAAGGTTTCATTGAATAATATTTTATTGAACGGTCCAATAGTACAAAAAGATTTATTTGACATAATTTCACTGTTTAGATTTGGAAAATATACATTAAGCTCAGATATTAAAAAAATGTTTCGCAATGTTTTGGTTAATCCAGAGCACACTTCACTACAGAATATTCTATGGCGTCAAAATCCAAATGTGCCCCTTCGTTGTATTCGTTTAGATACTGTCACATATGGTATGAAGCCATCAAGTAGCTTAGCCACACGCTGTTTATATGAACTTGCACAAAGGCATGAGCACAAATATCCTTTAGCTTCTTTTATTTTAATGAACTGCTGTTATGTTGATGATGTTTTATATTCATGTTCAGATTTGCACAAAATGCTTGAAGCTAAACAACAATTGCGTGAAATATTAAGTTATGGTAGCTTTAATTTGCATAAGTGGGCTTCTAATACACCTGATATTTTGTCTGATATTCCAGAATGTGAGCAGCAATTTACAATGTTTGATCTTCAAAAGGATAGTTATAGCATGAAAGCTTTAGGTTTGAAATTAGATGTAAAAAAAGATTGTTTTATTATAAAAGTACCAAATAATTTTAACGTTACTAAGATTACAAAAAGAGAGGTTCTTAGTTCAATATCTAAGTTCTATGATCCTATGGGATTTATAAGCCCAATAATAATAGGAGCAAAGGCTATTATACAAAAAATTTGGTCACATAATATTGGTTGGGATGAGGTATTACCTAATAAGTTAGCAGAAGAGTGGCTACAATTTTCAAATAGCTTGCTTGAAATGGAGCCTATTAGCTTACGACGTCACATACCAATCGAGGGTGCAATTTCATTGCAGCTTACAGGTTTTGCTGATGCATCTAGTAATACTGGGTACGGGTGCTGTATATACCTACGCGTGGTCGACAGTACAGGTAACGCTGAATTGCATTTACTCTGCTCAAAGTCGCGAGTTAATCCACGTGCAAATCCATTAACGATACCTAGATTAGAGCTTAATGCAGCATTATTATTATCTATTTTAATGGAAAGAATTTATGGAATTTTACATAATAATATAAGGATAGATAATGTGTATTTATTCACAGACTCAGAAATTACTTTAGCTTGGATTAGGACTGAATTAACCAAACTACAGGCATATGTAGCAAACAGAGTGAATGTAATTCGTCAAAAAACTGATAAATGGTCTTGGCTATATGTACCATCTTTAAGTAATCCTGCTGATTTAATTAGCAGAGGTATAAAACCACAAAAACTTCCAAATTGCTCCCTCTGGTGGAAGGGACCGGAGTTCCTTCAAAGTAACTACAGTTTTGATAATGAAATAGATTTTCCTGAGTTAAAGACGGTCAAGGATACCAAAAGCAAGGTAGTGTTAACAACTGTTGTAGATAGTAATATATTTAAGTTTCTTGAAAAATATTCAGATTTAAAAAGGATGACACGATTATTAGCTTACGTATGTAGGTTCTGTCACAATTTAAAAAGTAATATAAAAAATAAAGATAAGATATTATCAGCAGATGAACTACTTCATGCTTTGAATTTAATTATTAAATATGAGCAGTCAATTTATTTCTATGATGAGTTACAGTCATGGCGAAGAAAAAACTGCATAGAAGGCTCTTTAAAAGCTTTGCATCCGTTTGTAGATAATGATGGTTTGATTAGAGTAGGTGGACGGTTAGATAATGCGGATATTCCACTCTCACAAAAACACCCCATAATTCTACCAAAAAAATCACGAATCACGGAGTTAATAATTCGTGATGAACATATTCGATTGTTACATGTAGGTCCTAAGTCACTTTTAGCTAATTTAAACCAAAGATATTGGTTAGTAAATGGTATAAGGCAAGTAAAAAAAGTACTACATAAATGTATGACATGTTTTAGGCTCAAGGCTAATGCAGCGAAGCAGTTAATGGGGTCCTTGCCTCAACACCGTGTGAGGTCTTGTAGACCATTCCAAAAGGTTGGCATTGACTTTGCTGGGCCAATTCAAGTAAAAAATTCTAGAATAAGAAAGGCTTTGGTCACTAAGGGATATGTATGTATATATGTTTGCTTTGTAACAAAGGCTATCCACTTGGAATTAACTTCTGATCTTTCAACAGAAGCTTTTTTAGCTTCTTTTAAGCGTTTTATTAGTAGAAGAGGTTTGCCCAGTGATGTATTTTGTGACAATGGCGGTTGCTTTCGAGGGGCAAGGAACCAACTAGCTGAGTTGTATAAGCTTCATAATACAGTTAGTCATCAGACGTTAGTGCAGGGATATGCTGTTAAAGAGGGTATAAATTTTCATTTTACACCAAGCTATGCTCCAGTTTTTGCAGGCCTCGCAGAAGCAGCTGTAAAGAGTATGAAATTTCATTTAAAAAGAATAGTTTTAAATGCTTTATTAACATTTGAACAATTATGCACAATATTATGTCAAATAGAAGCTGTGTTAAATTCGCGCCCAATATTGCCCCTCTCCCAAGATATAAATGACTACTGTTATCTTACTCCAGGTCATTTTTTAATTGGGACAGCTCTTATTATGTATCCAGAAAAAGGTTTTTCTCAAACTGTAACTAACAGGTTAGATTTGTGGCAACAATGTACTCAGTTGAAACAAAGGTTTTGGAATGCTTGGCATAAGTACTATTTGAATGCTTTACAAAATAGGAATAAATGGTTTAGAAGTATGCCTAATGTTGCAGTAGGCTCTTTAGTAATTATGAGAGATGCTGGTACTGCTCCTTTCGTGTGGCCCATGGCTCGTGTAGTTAACGTGTATCCTGGAAAGGATGGTAGGGTTAGAGCCTTACAGTTGAGAACGGCTGATGGTAAATTATATGATCGGTCATTGCAGAGCATAAGCGTTCTGCCAATTGAATAAAGAACATAATTGTTTTTGTTAAGTATGTGTACTTTAATTTTTTTGCCTGCTGTGTCAGTTAATAGGTATAGGATATGTTTATAACTTAAAAGGAAGTGTTTTAGTTTAAAGGAAACTGTTAGTTTAAAAAAAAAAAACATGTTTTATCTTACAAGCTCCATAATATTACTTTGTAAAATAATTTTTATAACAACATGTTATTTTATGTTGCAATGTATGAATATTATTTATTTAAGTATCAGTAAAATAAATACTTATGATTATTAGTTATGTTTAGATTCATTACTATGATTATAACAAAATATTAGTTAATAGTAATTTAATTTTAAGTTAAATATTTTGATTATAAAATGAATATTTTGATTATTTCTGGTAACTTAAGTAATAATTATTTAATGTTAAAATAAAATAGCTTTTTCTGGGGCCGCAGCATGTTGCTGGCACAACACAAGTAGATAAAGAAATAATGTAATATTTTCGACACTCAATTGTTTTTTATTCTATGTTCTGCATGTCAAGGAATAAAAGCCCATTATATTTTTTCTATCTGTTTTTTAATAACTAATTCATTCTAATATCAGCAATAATCTACAGTCCACCTAAGAATCGTACAATCGGTACTCAGACATTTAGCACCTAGTTTTATAAATCATGTTTTATTTAATTTTTTTTTACATATAGGTACTTAGTTTTTATTTAGAATATTTGTTTGTAATTTATGTAGGTGTCAATAAACAATTATATTATTCCCTTCAGTGCTATCGATGAAAAATTAACATCTACGAGTAGACTTTCTTGTTCTTACCCAATTATGTTTGGTTTTGTTCAGTTGGCATTGTCAAAATGCCAGAACACAGTGATAGGAATCCCGGGACGGCTGAAGGGCATATCGGGAGGTGAAATGAAGCGGCTGTCATTCGCCAGCGAAGTACTCACCGACCCGCCGCTCATGTTCTGCGACGAACCTACATCGGGCTTGGACTCCTTTATGGCGCAGAATGTTATACAAGTACATATATTAATTAAAACATATGCACTCTTAATTTATGAATAAAAAAATGTATTGATGTAAATGTAAATAATGTCATTCTTATAGAGACCTGATAAGTTTATGTCGCTTGTTTTCTTTGTCAGCAAACAAACGTCCTGAACGAATGTAGGGAAAAATGTTGGACAATTTAAAAGTGATTGAGTGAGAAAAGATTTTTTCATTTTCTAAAAAACTACAATGGCAATTATTAAAAATCAACATATTTCAAATCAAATCAAACAAAAAAATCCATCTACTGAAGAAGAATCGGTCCACTGCTGAAAAAGATATAGTGGAACATACATAGATACCTATGTATTCACTTTTAATTTGTCCAACATTTTTTCCCTACTCTCAGTAAATAAATATTCAATCGAATTGAGGACCTCCTGCTTTTTTGAAGTTGTTTAAAAAAGGACAACTGAACATGCCGCATACGAGCGCCTTACGTCGCGTTAACGTCGACATAATTCGCCAATCGAGGATTTACATATTTGCCATCTAAAATTTTGCTACTAATAAGTAGGTATTGCTCTAATCTCAACTATTTGCAATTTGCCATTGTACTATCTTCCTGAAGACCAATGTTATAAATGCAAAGTTTTCTTCACAAATCAATGGTGACAGATATATTTATTATTTTGTGGTCTTGACAAGAATTGTGTCACAGTCAAGAATTGTGTCGTAGAGGAAGCGCTGTTAAATTGAGGAAACAGATGAATTTAAATGTTTAATTTTTTCCTATCCAGGTGTTAAAGGGTTTAGCACAAAAGGGTAAGACAGTGGTGTGCACCATCCACCAACCGTCTTCAGAACTATACGCCATGTTCGACAAACTGCTTATCATGGCTGATGGTCGTGTAGCTTTTCTTGGTTCCCCAGACCAGGCCACAGAATTCTTTAAAGAGTAAGTTGTTTTTTTTATTTAATATCACTGTATTCCATCATTTAGGTACTTACCTTTTTTAAAGAAAAAAACATATTTAATTTCCATAAACCAATCTATCTAAGTAAAATTAAAGTCGAATTCCATAGTAAAGTGTCAATTTTGCTACCTGGAGCTACCAAAATAATAGTTTTATTCACATTTAAGTATTCATATTTAAATTGATAATTTAATTTAGTTTGATTTCTGTTCTTATAGTATATCGTTGGGTCTTGTAGCTCAGTCTTTAGTATCTAACGGCGGTAGTCCGGAGGGGCTATTACGAGGCCCAAATAGATCGTCCATATCGGAGGACTATCTTTAAAATAACACTGCAGGCGTGTATACCAACGTAGATTTGTTCCATTTTATCATTTTTCACACGAAAATATAACGAGATGAGCGTGATGTCATCAGATGTCTTTACTCCTCGGCGATCGGAAACAGAATGTGTGCCAAAATGGCGGCAACTTGGTTTTTATAAACGAACTGTCAAAGTCAGTGTCACCATTCTAATAAAATTAAAAGTATCGATGATCACGCTCTCTTTACAATCGAGTAATTAAGTAATCGAGTAACTAGCTATTAAAATAAAAGAAACTAAATCAAACGATCTTCGTAATGATGATGCGACATATATATATGTTATAAAATAATCCTATTTGTTTGATTCAGACTGGGGGCTGCATGTCCAGCTAACTATAATCCAGCGGACCACTTCATTCAGCTGCTAGCTGGAGTGCCTGGACGGGAAGAAGCCACTCGGCACACCATAGACACGGTCTGTACGGCGTTCGCAAAGTCGGATATTGGCTGTAAAATCGCTGCAGAAGCCGAGAATGCCTTGTTTCATGAGGTAAATTTAAATTTATAAACTCAAAGTTTATGATAATTTTGCTATTATGCCAGCTTTACACATTATTAACATTCAATATTATGGCAAAAATTAAAGGTGTGCCTCAGGGCTCCGTTCTATCCCCTACACTTTTTCTGCTGCATATCAATGACATGCTTCCACTTGGAAATATCCATTGCTATGCAGACGATAGCACAGTGCATATGGGATATCACGGGGCTCCTACGGTCGGACGGGCGGAAATCCTGGAGAAAAGGGAGAATCTTGTCATTGAGCTCAATCACGTTCTGGATCTCATATCGAAATGGGGTGCTGAAAATCTGGTTGAGTTCAATGCCAAGAAAACTCAGGTTTGCGTATTTACCGCCAAGACCCCTCCATTCCCTTCCCTTCCCTCTCTTCAGGGCACAACCTTGCCTCTACAGAGCAGCATCAACATGCTCGGGATGGAAGTGCGCTGTGATCTGAATCCCAAAAACCACATCGAGTCCGTTATTAAAACAGCATCTCGTAAACTCGGTGTCCTGAATAAGGTGCGGCGTTTTTTCACGCCCGAACAACTGTGCCTGCTATACAAAACGCAGGTCCGGTCATGCGTGGAGTATTGCTCGCACCTTTGGGATGGCTCCGCTAGGTACTTACTCGATGCTTTGGATAGATTGCAGCGCCGCGCAGTACGCATTATTGACAATGGTGAAGTCACCAAGAACCTAGAAAGCCTGCAACTGCGCCGAGACGTTGCTTCGCTCAGCGTCTTCTACCGTCTCTACCATGGTGAATGCTCTGAAGAACTCTTTTCGCTTATCCCTCCATCTCCCTTCCTCCTCAGGACCACACGTGCTGGTTTGCGTTGCCACCAACTAACTGTGGCAGCGATTCCTTCGCGTACAAAGAAATTTGGCGACTCATTTCTTTGTCGTACTACCAAAAAATGGAATTGTCTCCCGGCCCATGTATTCCCTCCTTCCTATGACATGGGGTCCTTCAAGCGGGGCGTGAAGAAGCACCTTGCAGGTCGGCAAGGTGAGGTTGGCTAGTGCAGTACCTACGTACTGTTTTCACTAGCTGTCCTCACGTTTGGACTACGCCTCCGCTTACCATCAGGTGGAGCGCAGACATTTGCCCTCCTATACTTAAAAAAAAAAAAAAAAAAAAAAAAAAAAAATGTGATGGCGTCCACACGTTGGGATGCCTTCAGCTTGCTTCGGTAGTTATCGCGCTAACTTTTTGCCAACAGATATGCTAACATCTACCAATAGGCTCGTGAGTCGTTCGGCTACGGAGGCCATTAAGATTTATGTTTAATACCTGCGTAGTTTCTTATAAGTATTAGGCAGTTGATTCAATTTTAAGCAACTCGCTCCTTTATAGCCTTTTAAAGCGTTTTAACTAACGCACAGGCATATGTTGAGTTATGGCAAAACTATTACCACTGATAACGTCATTGCCGTTGATTGATAGTGGTGTACGAAGTGGTGTACCCTATTTCACTAAAATTACGTGGACGAACGATTTTGTACAGTAGACTGGATGCAATTTACCTTTTTAATTTACACAATTAATTGATAGGGTTTATTTTTTGGAAATTTCTAGTAGTTCACATAAGTGAATACTGAAGTAAGTGTTGTTTCCAGCGAAAAATCCAAGATGGTTGGACGGACATGGCCTGGGCTGGGACTGCTTCTTTGCGCTCGCACCGCTCACCGTACAAAGCGTCCTGGTGCGCTCAGTTCCGCGCTGTTCTGTGGCGGTCCTGGCTCTCGGTCACCAAGGAGCCAATGCTTATCAAAGTACGCTTCCTACAAACAATTGTAAGTGAGCTTGATCTTATGATCAAACGCAATATTAACTATTAGATTAACACCCGGTTTCTGAATTGAGAATTTAAAGTTAGGAACCTCTTAAACTGTACTTAAACCAGTTTTCGTTTCTGATTTTAGTTTTTTCAAATGATCAGTTGATAGCAGTTTTATAAAACTAGGAGTTTTTGAATTGTGAACCGTAATCAGTTGAGATTTGTACTTTTCTCAATTCAGAAACCGGCCATCAATTAAGTAAACCGTCAACCCTGGCTGCACTAATCTACACTGGACTTGCTGATTAGAATATGTTTTATTTTTTGCTCTCATGGGGAAGATCTGTAACGCAGCAGGAGCGACATTAACGATACAGACTGTTGTAACTCGGTGGCGTAGTGGAAACCTTAAGGACGTAACAGGGCTAATGGTGATAATGATAAAGTATTTTGATCAATTTTGCATTCACAATGCCATACTGAAAATTATTCTTAATACAAAATGCTTAAAAATTCCACTTGACCCCTGGCACCTTGAGATGGGAATCGAACCCACGACCTTTCGCAATCCGGGCGATTCCCATCTCAGGGTGCCAGAGACCAAGTGGATTTTTTAAGCATTTTGTATTAAGAATAATGATAAAGTAGAATTAACATACCCTCGCAATGTGAACAACCTGTATTAATAAGAGGATAAAAAATATATCAAAAACTCACACATACACAGAAACACAGAGTAAATAAAGAAAAATCTACAAATACTGCTAGTACGATGATATCATGGCCATCTCGTCTATAATATAGACAGTGTTCCATGATATAGCTTGTATCAAATTCAGTTTGTGCATAAATTCCATTGGTTTAGAGCTTGTTTGAGACCATATAGTATTTTTAGGGAGACAATCTTTGCGTTTTCGGTCAGTAGAGAAACCTTTGGGTTGCCCCATGTATTTCCTTGCTGAAATCACTGTTATGCAGTTTCCATATCTAAGTGATCAACTTTCAGTTTGTGTTGAGCAGTAAATGCTAGTAAAAGTTGGACTGAAGACAGTCTAGCAACTGGTGAAAAAGTTTCACCGTAATCTGCACTAATTGGGTTTAGCTACTAGTTTGGCCTTGTACTTTGTGATTGTTTTTATTTTGAAAATTCTCTTGCACTTGGTGGTTTTTCTGTTAGATGGTTTATCGACAAGTATCCATGCACCATGTTTTTAATAGCGATTCATATTCAGCTTGCATCGCTTCCAGCAACTTCTTTTCTTGCGGATGAACTGTTACTTCCTTGAAACTTTCAGATTAAAACTCTGAAGTTACGTGAGATTCTCACGGTATCTGTCAGGAGGTCGTCTCTGTTAATTAGGATATCTCCTTTCGGGTTCAGGTGTAGGTTTTAATTTATATTATTAAATTATTACTTTTTAATATATGTAGATTTTTACAGGATAGGACAGGATATAAGAACCTAGTTTTTTTTTTCGTTATATAGTGTTTGAAATCAGTTTATAGAATTAAATAGTATGAACGGCGGGTATTATAAACTTTATTCGTCTATTCGGACTCTTCCAATACCTTTTTACGAGCTACAAATAACGTTCCTATTGGGATCTTGTATATAATATAGAGCACTGTTTAATCAATCCTGTCATTTCAGATGGTGTCAATACTAATTGGCGTGATATACTTCGGACAACACTTGGATCAGGATGGTGTAATGAATATCAACGGTGCCATCTTCATGTTCCTTACCAACATGACATTCCAAAATATTTTTGCGGTCATTAATGTAAGTTGCTACATTTTTAACGCCTATTTGAATTCTTAAAAGTATGTTAAAGTATGTATAAAGTATGTTTTATATTCCCCAATATCGTGGCCATATTTTCGATACCAAGTTTGGTGATTAAAGCAAACTGATAGTAACCTGCTATCAGTTACTATTAACCTGACTTTTACCAAAGCCTTATTAATAATTCTTAACTAATCAACTGTCTTGATCATTTGAGGTCAAAGTATATTTAAGGGTTTAACAGAATAAGTTTACTTAGTTAAAGTCCATTATAACATCTGTAAATATTCGATATTTCGTAACTTCCCCGCCTAGTAATGTCTCTTTATTTTAGGATCATCAACACCCAAGTACATCTTAAAATAAGTATCGACGTAATTGTGACCACTACATGCACCAGTATTTTTATGCTATCTTTTGTTTTTTCTCTGATATAAACATATAATCAAAATATTTAGGTGATATCTTATAAAAAGAAAATTTTAATTTATTTTAAAAATAAAGCTACTGATTCGATGTCCATAAAATTTTAATGGGACCACCTCGGCCCATTAAACTAACGAAAAAAAATGAATTTTGAAAATCGATTCATAATTGGTGGAGTAATCGAGTAACAAACATAAAAAACATACAGTCGAATTGACAACTTCCTCTTTGGCCCATACCCAAACGTCCTCTAAGCTTTTAGATCTTAGAGGTATCAGGGGCCTAATTATGTAATTTTAAAATATATCGTAATACCTTTCAATTTAGCTCTTGTAATATTTTTCACCTAAAACTATTTGACATGTGATGGCGTTGGAATCGTGAAGCTTTTTGGAAGATATTGAATGAAAGATATTGTTAATTTGTACAAGGCAAGAATTAGACACAATATTACTTTAAGTTTAATTTCCAAAGATTTTATTTTTTATCATGTATCATTCAAACCGTCATTCGATCTTTGTCGCCAGGTATTTTGCTCCGAGCTACCTATCTTTATACGCGAGCACCATTCAGGAATGTATCGTGCTGACGTGTACTTCTTATCGAAAACGTTAGCTGAGGCGCCAGTGTTCGCGACTATACCACTGGTGTTTACCACCGTAGCTTATTACATGATCGGTCTCAATCCAGCTCCTGAGAGGTTCTTTATCGCGTCAGGTCTTGCGGCTCTTATCACAAATGTTGCAACATCTTTCGGTAAGTTTCTAAATTTATAATCATATATTTTCTCTATGAGATCAAAGGTGGTATTCGTCCTACTACTAATGTCTGGCTGAACCTTACGGAGACAAAAGGGAAATGGTCTCTCCCAGTCTTGTTGATATAGTTTGGAAATTGTATTAAATCAGGCGGCTGGAAGGTGTAAAAATTCCATAACCGTGATTCAGGCTGCGCTGTAGCGTCATCTTGTAACTGTTTGAGTTAATTCAGTCTTCGTCTTGCAGTTGATTATTTCGGTAATTTTAGCATACTGAGATAGATGCCGTTGATTCATGAGTTGATATAATGTTGATATTGATATAGAAAATAATAAAAATAATGCAATAAGATGCCTCATTCAAGAAAATTATTAATGTTTTGGTCTATATTTATTCTCTATTTCGACCGACGAATTAACACTGGTAGATAAGAAATCGTACTTTAAATTCATAAGGCATAATAAGAAGGGACTTTTTAGTTAGTATCATGTTAACTGATTAATATACATACGTTAATATACCTATAAAACGGATATCTGTGCCAACGGCTAAAATCATACTATTAAATTGTAGTCAAGCAGTGGTATATTTCTTCATACAAAGACGTGCTTTCGGGCGTCCCTCAAGGATCCCATTTAGGATCTCTACTGTTTATTTTGTATGTCAATGATATTTTATATACAGAGAAAAACTCAAGTGTTTTTCTTTATACTAATTTCCAGAAATACTTAATCACCAAGATTCCACGTTACTACAGAACGATTTTAAAGAATTTGGGAATTGTTTTTGATTCCGAATAAATGTCAAACGATTACTTTTATAAGAAAAAGAGACCTTATAACTTTTCTTTATAAATTATGTGGAGATATTTTAAATCATGTCACAGAAATTAAGGATTTATGGCGTAATTACGGACTCTAAATTGACATTTGTACCGCACATTGATAAAATAGTAAATTAATGTATTAGGTTCCTAGCTTTAATTTATATGTGGATAAACCTTTTATGGGTTCCACGACTTATAAATTACTTTTTAACAATTTTTACAAACGTAGTTGACTTGAATTCACATGCCCCATTTGAAATCCTCAGCATCGAATACATCTAGATAAAATTGAAAAGATAAAACGAAAGTTCATCAAATCGTTGGATTATAGAATTGGTAATTAGATTACCAGTTACCATTACCAGGAGTTATAGTCTAACTGTGAACAATTACACTATGAGTCCTCTGTTGTTTTTCACAATATAATATCCCTAAGGCACGAAGAAATCATTTAAGACTTTAAAAGACATAGCTGATGCCTCATTTCTCTTAGAAAAATTGGTTTTCCGAGGAAACAGGAGAGGGCAAATAGAAAAAAGGCATTATTTGCTGTAAATCACAGTAAAACTTGTTACGGAAGCAAAAGCTATATAAAAGAACTTGCACGTTATATAACGACGTTAAAATTTTTGTAACTTCTATAGTAAAATTTAAACGCTACATCGCCGAACATTTGCAAAATTGGATGTATAATTGTTAATTTACGTAGGCAAAACACTACTATTAATGATACGAATTATTGTTAGATAGCAAAAAAGCTGTGTAGCAAATAAATATTGTTTTCTTTACCCCAGATCAAATACCACAGATCAAACATAATAAGAATACCCATCAGGGCCGTCCAAGTTAAACTTTTTTTAATATTTTCATGATTTACGAAAACATCAAATAATTTTATCACGGCGGCGAAACGATGCAGGGTCGGTAATTATCTGGGGTGCAATATCATATAATGGACCGATTAGTTTAGTGGTAATAGAAGGTAGACAAAGCTCTAAAAGTTACATCAAACTTTTGCAGAATGAGAAATGTAAGCTTAGCAGTGTAATAGGGAATGAAGGTTTTATTTTTCACCATGATAATGCTAGTATTCATAGTGCACTTAACGTTCGCGAGTGGTTTCTACAAAATAATATAAATATTCTCGCTTGGCCATCACTCTCCCCCAACCTGAACATAATTGAAAATGTATAACACCAAGCACGAGCTCAAGGAAGGTTTAATTAAGTGTTGGAGCAAATTACCAATTACATTTATAAGTAAACTATATGACTCAATGCCATCCCGTATTTTTTATTTAATTGAAAAGAATGGAAAAGGCATAGATTATTAATTAATAAAAAATGTTACTAATAAAATTTAATAATAATATATATTATATTTTATTTAATGGTCATATTCAAGTGGCGCGGCACATTGACTATTGGAATTGTTGCGAGCGCCTCGTTGAGTGTTTTTGGTGTTCAATTGTTTATAATTAAACGTGGCATGTCTTAAGATTAAAATACTTTTTATTTCTAGATATTTATTTTGATTCATATTTTAAAGAGCATAGGAAAATGCACTGGTTCTATTCATGTGGCACGGTATGTATATTTATTGACAGTTTCAACAAAAATCGTCAAAACAATTGAAATTATAAATAAAATACTCAAGTCTATTAAAAATCGCGCGAAAAACTATTGTATAGTTTTTCATTTAATTATGTTCACAAAAGTATTTGTTACGAGCTTTTATTTAACTTGCGTAATGAGGGTCAAATCTTTCAAGCTAAATTTGACAAACGTTCTGGCTTTCGATTGAACTCATATTTTACGGACACATATAGTCAATATCTGGATGACAATGAAATAATAATATGGAATGGCGCTGATCCGATGATGGAGATAGAAGGTAGCCATGGGACTTCTATAATTAAATGAAGAAATCCCATCGAGATCGGACGTATAAATTGCCAATACGTTCTGGTTTTCGATTGAACTCAATTTTTACGTACACATCTATGTCAATTCCTGAATATAAATTAAATAATACTATGGAATGTCGCTGATCTGCTGATGGAGATAGAAGGTAGCCATGGGACTTCTATAATTAAAAGAAACAATCCCATCGAGATCGGACGTATAATTTGCCATAAAAATGACTCTGGTCCGAAATAATAAAAAGGCTCTGATAATAGAACTAGAAAGTGGCAATGGGCCTTTTGTAATTGAATCGTGCCGAGTTTGGATACATTTTATTTGTCTTACATTTTACATGTTTTTTTTTAAAGCATTTAATGTAATTCGATGACAGTCATGTGGTTAATTAAATCAAAATTCTATACAGTTAAAATATTTTCCAATCGAACAGTTGTCTTTTATCAATAAATAATTGTTGTAACATGATACACCAGTTGTCAAGATATTTGAATACTTCACGCTTCACGTACCGCAGATTCGGGTGGGTATTTTATTTGAATGAAATGGGAACAAGACGTTAAAACATGGAAATGAATATATCGATATTTTGGTGTTGTAAAAGGAACATTAAAGGTAGGTATATTAATATTGATGGTATTATACCATATTGAAAAGTTATTAAAGGTAAAGGAGAAAAAAAAAACAAAGAAATCTGTAACTTTATGAAACAAATATCTAGTATAGTCAGCAACAGCACGTCATATTATACAAAAGTGTTAAATTTACCCACTCAATTTTAAATCTTAATATATTTGGGGTAGAGTTCAAAATCAATTGATTTGACATTTCATGATCACCTGATGTGCAGCCGCATGTATATAACTCTATATTCCTATTATGAATATTCTTAAAAAAATATCGAACGATATATCAGGATTCATGTTACCTTTTGTTAAACGAGCGGCGGCTGCTCTAACCAAGACATTAGAGAATTTATTAAATTCATCAAGCTTTTTTTGCTTGCTAGTGAGGATATTTCCATGTTCACATATCGATATGTCAATAAGTTTGTGTACGGATTTATCGATACTCCATTTTTACGCTTCCAGTCGACCGTATCTAGAATGAATAATTTTTTTGTCGCTTCTCACGGTAGCAATATCACTTTTTTAAGATTTCAATTTTTGATATCAGCCTGAGATATAATAATACTTACTATTATATATGTTATTACTTCATTCGTATGATACGTGGTCATCGCCATATGACACATGGTCAACTTTGTCATGATGCAACCGCTTTAATATAAAAAAGACCAAAGGTTGTCCCTGCTTCATTGCATCCGACAAAAAAAACTATTTTTAATTAATTATTCGCAAACCATTACGATTACAAAGTAACTCATTTACTTATTATAATGATTATGAGAATCGAACAAATAGTGAATTTTAGGAGTAGCTTTGTAATTTTTTCAATCAAGCAAATTAGAATAGAGAAAAAGATTTTTCTCGTGTTCAATTATATTTATTATTATTTTGACATTGTTTCTGCCACAAATTTTATAAAGGGTCTATAATATCTCTCAGGTTCCGACAAATTTTTCATAAAAATACATATTAAAATATTCAGCTTAGTCAATTTATAGCAGTTTAGATATTATAATAGTAGCCCCTACGTAATTTAACTATCGCCTTTGACAGTTTTGTATTATTATATTTGGCATTGTGTTGACTGCACTAATTTTATAATTCACCATTTGATACCTTATTGGATCAAAATGCTGTAAAAATTGAGCATTGAACTCGCTGTCACACTTTAGAAGTTCATAAAAACAACACTTTAAAAGGTAACAAAGGTTTTATTTGATTTTCGGACAATCCCTAACAAAGAAGCTGAAAACCGAGAATTAAAGCATTCGCGCTTTAGGGTCAAAACATAGGTATCTAATAACTTCTGAAAAAGAAATATTGAAACCTGCACACTAGATTTTTTTATTTCATTGGATAGTACACCGCTCAATATAAACTAAAATTACCATTTGCACTGCCAGTCTAAAGGCCAATTACGATTATCCAACAAATTACAATTTACTATTAAATACTCAGGCGAATTTACCATTTAAAGAGAAACAATAATATTCAAATTGACTTGAGGAAACCATCTAGATGGATGAATTATCTCGTTTATTAACCCATGCTTCTGTGAGACGTTCGACCAATCATCCGTCAAATATGTGCATGCCGACCCTTAATAATTTCTGACACTATTAAACAAACCTAGCAACATTAACCTCTTTTTAAACTAATTAACAAAATAACGAGCCGCATTACTTAAGTCATTAACGATTATTAATGTTTATTAGAAAAAAAAAGTTGACTATAAAGGTCGCATCTTCGATGAAACCAGTTATTCTGATGTTTATTTGTTCAGGCCTATGTTACCATTACCCAACCATGCTTATTAAAATAAATAGATCCACTGATTTGATTGTAAGATACGTAAAGGTAAAATTTTATTTCCATAATAAATTATGTTGTTTATCTGGAAAATTCCACCTGGTTATTACAAAAATTGTATCTCATGAAGTCTTGTGTTTCACGATGTGTATGAGAATAAAGTTTTACGATAATCATGAACTACTTCAAGTTTTAAATTAATATATTATCAGTTAAAATGTCTATTATAATATAAAAGTTGTTTTTATCTATCAATGCTTCACTATCGATGATCTGTTAAAAATTTAAATAATATTCAAATTTGTTGAATAATGGTTTTAAAAGCTTATTTATGTCTTCATCGCTCTTCGAACACAGAGACAGATAAAAGAAAGTTTCAATAGATATTACAGATATTAAATTTGATCTATTTTACATTCAAAATGCTTTACAGATTAATATATTTAATGAAAAAATATTAAACCATGGGGATATCTGGAACTAGCGGATTTTTAAGCATTTACTACACGTCAATTTCTAACGTAATCTTAGATATTCCGGATTTCTGGCAACTTTAGATGAGGTGGAAGTGTTACGTGTAATTTTCGGCGTACATTAGCGGTTTCTTGTAATTGAATGAAATCCGTAGGAAGTTGATTGAAAGAAAGTTGACCTAGACATTAAAGTTAACAGAGGCGTTAATTTATTAGAGCATGTACGAAGAGTTATGAATGTCAAGGGAGCAAAATACGTATGTGAAACCTTGCGTGCTTTGTGGCACTCAGTTCTTCCTAACATATGATTTGCCATGAAGATATAGATAGGAAAATTGTGGGCAATTTCCAAGTAGTGTAAATATTTCCTTATTTATTTGTGCAGGCTACTTGATATCATGCGCAAGCAGCAGCGTCAGTATGGCAGCATCAGTTGGTCCGCCCATCATAATACCGTTCATGCTTTTCGGTGGATTTTTCCTCAATTCAGGGTAAGTTAGATTAACCTAAGCCAACTAACCTTTCAGTATTTTCCAGTGTTTTCTGCGATGCTCTAGTCTAGATAGTTTGTAAGCAATGTCCTGGGTGTCAGTTTAATTTGCCGTTAACTGTTTTCATAATATTTTTGTAAACTCGACCTGTTACATGGTGCAATAACTTAGTTCATAATAATAATTCTTGTATTGTTTATTATTTAAAGTAAATTAAAAATCACTTTGTGAATGTATTATTTCTCAAACTTTGCTGAAACCCAAGCGGCAGTCAATAATTTGGTTGGATTCTAATTTGTGAAATTGCTGCTCAACTACCGCATTACTTCAAACCTATAAAATGTAGTTTATATACTACAAACCTATAATCTATAAAATGAAGTTTGTAGGAGAAGGACTCGAAGTATTGTCCTGAATTATCAGGTCAGGCTAACGGATCGATTGATCAATCAGGGCTTGAAGTTACACTGTAGTTGAGCAGCAATTACACAAATTAGTCGAGAGACCGACAACATTTTTGAAAAAAAAAGTGATTACAAAATCGATAATTTATTTTGGTAAAAATATACATTAATGTAGTTTAAGTGGGTTTAACAGATCGATTGGAATAATGTTATTGAATTTTACTCAGAAATCTTGAAGTTTTGAATCATTTATTTTGTTCCTCCTAGATCTGTACCGCCGTATCTTGGCTGGATATCGTACTTGTCTTGGTTCCGGTATGGTAACGAAGCGTTACTGGTCAACCAGTGGTCAGGCGTGGAGACGATCGCTTGCACCAGAGAGAACTTCACCTGTCCAGCGTCAGGGCAAGTAGTGTTGGAGACCCTGAGTTTCTCGGAGGTAAGCTTTTATTCAACTTCCTTGATTCTTAGTTAGGGTAAAGTTAAATCTTGGTTAGGGTAGAGTTACACTCACTTTCTGGTATATGCAAAGTTTATTTAATTACCTTTTAAATTTTATAAATGGCACATGTATTAATACTTTAAGTATTCTGATAGACCTCTTCAAATTTTAGATGTATGTAAAAATTAGCCGTGTATACCTTGTTAAATACTTGTAAACTTTGTAATTGAGCGAATCAACCTCATCCAGTTTGGGCTTGATTTGTCTTGACAAGGACTTTCTGGGCGGTCTGGGATAATGCTAAGGGTCTAATGAAGGAACTGCAACTGGTTCGTTTGTATTTTCTATCCAAGATCCCTGGTCTAAGCCAATATCAAAAGCTTGTTTCAAAAATATCTTACGTTTTTAATTTGACAAACTTTTCGACAGGCCCGGGAGAGGAAAAAGCTACTATCTTCAAATATTTTTTTTCGAAATAGTTACAACGACGTTATGAAAACGATTTTTGTGGTCAAATACTTTAGACACAGATTTCAAGGTGCCGCCATCTCTGAAGTCACGCGATTAATTACCGTTCAAATCTAAAATTGTTTAATTTTATACTCTTTCGGGCCAGTTGAATCGGATGTTTATGTCATGTGGTTATAGCACCTGTGTAAAATGGTTTTACATATTTTTTTATATTGCTCCTACAGGATGATTTCAACATGGACGTGATAAACATGGTATTGCTCTTCATAGGGTTCAGACTGTTGGCGTACATAGCACTTCTACTGCGTGCGCGACGTGCAAAATGAATATTATTTTAACTAGGTATTATAAAATTTTCGTTGAACATGCAAATGCGCATGAAATAATGAAGTTGTATGAAGTTTCCTCGAGTAAATCGAAGTGTATTTATTAAAATTGAAATACGTGTTTTTACATCTTTATATTGAATAATATATTATAGATAGGATACAAAGGTAAAGGAAAAGCTAAATAAAAAAATTATTGAAAAGGAAATATTTGCGTCTGTGTCTTATATTATGTCAATTGTATAGAAGACAATTTACAAAATATTTTATTGACATCACTATATATGGCCGAATAGTGGTGTAGACGACTAAGTATAGATATACATGAAATATATCTAAAAAAATATTTAAAAAAGTAACATATAAAAACTTAAATTCTGATAATAAATTTCATTTTCAAAATTTCCCGCGAAAACACCATCTTTTGTCATGGCGTCGTTGTGACGTCACGCCCATCTAAGCTTTATATCGTTCTATGTATACCTAAGATTCAATTTTCTAAGTTCTGATATGAGTAGAGAGGGTCGTGACGTCACACGCTGTTTGCAGTCACGTGACAATGTGTATAAAATATTTGTTTTTTCATAATCAATTAAAACAATATTATAAATATACTAAGCATAAAAGTGTGATTATCGGTAAAAGTATATAAAACAGTACTAGAAAAAAAAAATGATTCTATTTTCGTTTATTTTCTACTGCCATTTTGTAGAAGCAGTAATTTTTAAAAGAATAGATAAATAAATATTGTCATTTAATATATTTTCCATAGTTTAATGATTGTTTATAATAATATTTAGTTGAACTTTAAAAATATTTTATTTTTTGTTATATAACTTTATATTGAAAATTATTTTATACATAAATAATATTTACGGCCACGACTGTTTAATGATAGTACAAAATAAACTGCCTCTTACTTGTAATGTTGTATTTTTCAAATATATTTTAAATCATTTTATAGCGATAGGCCATCTTAGGCCCTTGAAGGATTTTCCCCAGGTATTTCTTCCATAAATATCAAATACTTCAAGGGCAATAACTGAGTCATGTACTAACACTGAGTGTAAGCTGTAAAAGACTTTGAAATATCTGTAATCGCACCCACGCTGGTAAAACCTATTATCTGTAATTTATTTACAAACATGGTTTAATGTGCCATTGCATAGAAATTTTCAAGCTGCATCTATTGGTAAAACTCATTTCGTTATTGCAAAAATTTACAGTTAACAGGTTTTACCAGCATGGGTGCGATATGGACTTACCGTAAAACTATGTATATAGATTTATAAGGAAAATATTTAGTAGGTAATAAATTCTAATATATACTTTTGATTTTTATAAAAGTTGTTTTATTATTATATTTTGATTAATTTTGCATGCACAATGCCATACTGGCACCCTGAGATAGGAATCGAACCCACGACCTTTCGCAATCCGGGCGGCTGCTCTAACCACTGAGCTACCCAGGACCTAACAGGACTGACGAATCTTTCAAGCACTTATTACTTTTCGCTACTACAGAGCGTATCCTCATCAAGAATAAGTTGTTTTATTGTTCCAATAAACACTGTTATTTTCGAATTATATTTAAGCTAACAGTGTTTGGTAGATTTCTATCAAGCATTAATTAAGAGTCGGTGCGTTTCTGTTGAAAAACGCGTTATGTCGAAGTTGATTTGCGGAACGTCAGGACAGGACTGAAAAAATAATTGACGCTTGTATTAAAGCCTTCCAAGGTTTCTGAATCGTAATTCCTGACCAGGATAAAGAATTTATGAGCAGTTTTTAATACTCGCCCCCACACGGAGGGTACTGGTAACGGTTTTTATCGAGTAGGCCGGCTTCGCTTAAGTCTGAATTTTCAGGACAGGTGGGGAACCGAAAGCCCTGGTTTAAGACTAAAGGGTGTAATTCCATTTAAATAAGTTCCGTGTCACCTTAATTTGTATATAAATCATAGATTTATTATTTGATAAGACATAAACGACAGTTTGAAAACGCATAGCCTTTGTCTCAATCTACGAGTATCTTTCTCTGACGTACGTGCGTATTATTCTTTTCTGTTTCGTGTAGTCAGTATCTGTATATATAAAGAAAATTTTCAGGTATCTAATTAAGTAATTTTTCACCACCAATTACTTTTTAGTGTGAAGTTTATCACCAAATAGCATCCATAACGAGGTAATAGATATAATGGAAAAATAGCACCCACTTAAACGTAGCAAATCTATTTTAAAAAACTATAAATAATTATCACCGCATAATATTATGGGTGGAATGTTTAAATCGAATGAAATAGTTGAAAAGCAGTTTTAATTAAAATGAAGTTTACCTACTTTAAACTTTAAAGTGCGACTTTTATTTTTATGATAATCTTTATTAGCTGCCTAATCATTATCGTTGGCATCCGCTTTAGATTTTTTGTTTTAATGTCTTATTTTAAATTAACTTTACCTAACTTTATTTAAAAAAAGGTAACGTATTATGTAGATACAATAAAACTGATAGATGTTATATTAATCCTTATTTCGTTATTTAAGCACTGGTTCCAATTCTATTGTTTCACTCGCTAAACTAAACTTATAATACAACTTAGACTAGGGTTTATTTTACCGTTATTCTGTAATAAAAGAAATATAATTATATTCCTGTATATTAAAATATGATAAGTTTACTTCATCATCATCATCATCAGCCCTTTTACGTCCCCACTGCAGGGGCTCAGGCCTTCCCTATGGATGGTTAAGGAGGATGGGTCATGACCCTCCACGCTGGCCCAATGCGGATTGGAGGGTATTAACGACTGCAAATGTAGCCGGGACCAACGGCTTAACGTGCCTTCCGAAGCACGGAGTAGCTCGAGATAATAATTTTTTGGTCACTCATCCTGCGACCGACCACTGTGAAAGTTGCTTAACGACAACGATCGCGATAAGTTTATTTATATTATAGATAATGTAGTTAGACAGGTGTAGTTTGACGTAAACATGCCTGCATTGACCACATGCTGAGTAACGTTAAAAATGCAGATGTTATCGTGCTGCCATTATTTCTATCAGATCATGATACAGCTCAAATATTAAGTTTTCCCGTGCGTCAGAATTGCTCAAGGCCGGAATCCTACTTTATTTTGACAGGTATGACTCAATCCATAGATAATTTTATTATTATTACTAAAGTAAATTATGTCTAGTTTGCGCAACAGGATTGCTACTACTGTTAGATTACTTCATAGTCATAACAAAGCACATCATAAAGAGATCTTTGATAAGCTTACAATTTTTTTAATATTTTTTATTTCTAGTGATTATAAAATAATTGTAACAAAATTCATAACAAAGCAAAATCGGCGATTTCTTTTTCTTTGATTACACGATATTTGGAACCTTCTCTCCACCTTTTCTTTTCAATTTTGAAAGCGGGTAAGAAATGAATCGATGGTAGGACTGATGGATGCGTTATTGTATTGTTTTTTTTTTTTTTAATTTAAATAGCGGTAGTATTTTCAAGTGTAAATAATCACACAGGCACTTATGTTCCCGCAAAACCAGCTTAAATTATAGCCTATTTCACCCAAAAAGCCACATCATAGAAGCTTCACGTGGATAAAATAATTTTCATGATCGGATCAGTATTTCTGAAGATTACCCCCCACAAATAAACAAAATAAGTTTGAAACTATTTGTTTTAATAAAGACGAATAAGTCGCGTCGTGGTGACGTATGATCGACTGAAAGTATCAAGCAAGAGACATAAAGAAAAATATCTGACCATCAGTAACCGCCCTTTGTTTTCCCCACAGTTATATAAGATGCAATCGCATGTTTTTTATTTCGAGTGTAAAGATAGAATACTATAAAACCATAACTTCACAAACTGGAACTCAAATAAGTTCAGCCCTGCGATTCTGTGAAAATCCAGAACCAAATTCGAATTCACATGTCCATGTTCCACATGTCTCCGAGTTCACGTTATTTAGTTTAGAAATTCTATTTCTTTTAGAAATACGATTCCAATTTTTTTATAAAAATACAACATTGATTGAATACACGTGTCATAGATATTCTCTATGTTATTTCGAAACTCACTTAACTTATGCCAATTCAGGGTTGAGCGGATGCCGCTCTTAGAAGTGAATTCGTGCACCTGAGGGAAATCGAATTGGGGGTCTGATTTTTACTGAATCGCAGGGCAGATTTCACAATATTACAATTTTCAAATTTTAGGGCGTAAGTCGTGCTTGAGAGCGACAACGAAAAGTTATAACGGATAAGGTAGACCAGCACACATAGCATGACGAATTCGAGAACGTTTTATCCTACACCTAAATGTCACTTTTCTCGGATGCGCCCATACGCCATCACACTCTCGAACCGAGATAAGTGACATTTGGTGTAGACAAAGCAAAGCAAAGAGGTAGCAGAATAATACAGTACCGAATCTTGAGCCAATTCTGGAAATAAATACCTCTACTGCATTGGACCGTTAGGGTGGCCTTCTAAATAAGAATAAGGGTTTTATTGTTATTACCTTGTTATATATTACACACTAAAAAGTATTTTCGTCTGTTACAAGTTTTGAACGCTTTATTATTGAATTACATATATGGTATAAAAATGTTTTTTTTTAAATAAACTATCGGGAAACCGGTGTAAGGGGCGTTAAAAGGGATCTCGTCTATTTATTTTTTAATTAATTCCGCTATTTTACAGTTAATGTTTTTTTTTTACTTAAAAAAATGCAACAAATGGCGTCTATCTTCTCGACGTATTGACACACTCATCCTGTGGTACAATTAATTAATTTTGGTGTCGATCTTTTATTGCGTTTCTGAAGAAAAGTAGTGGATTTGCTCCGTGGGCATTGTTTATACTTTTATTGATATTGATAATAAGTATATTTAAAAAAAAAAACGAGAGGTCCGGGTTTTAATACGTTGAATTTAAACATCCGTATACTATACAATATTTTCGTGCCATTTTTATTGAGATCGCTCA